TTGCCTTTGTACACATAGTTTAGGAAGTATGTGAATAATCCCCAAATTGCTTCTATCACCTTTACTATCCAACCTTGATTAAGAGTTATGTGATGAAATAATTGTGAAACAGTCATTTATAATATTGATTTTGTGACCTGATAAAATAATGAGTGCTTTACAATGATTGAAGACCACATTGGAACATTCTGTCGGTTCTACCTTTATAAGTGTGTGGCATCACAACTGCAGGGGAACTTGTAGATGCAGTTTGAAGCGGAGTGCACAGAATTTCGTCGTTTAATCGAAGGTAAAAAGATCGAAAATGTTCGGCGTGTGAGAAAATGAGATGCGGCGTAGAATGTGTACTCGACAGCTGACTGAAGTCTTTGAGTAAGCTGTCAACTGCATAATTTCATCACTTTTGAATTGTAGGTTAATAAAGATGGATAGCTTGCTTTGGTAGAGAAGCTTTCGAAAAGATCGAGTTCCAAAATAATTATTAAGACACATAGAAAATCCCAATACAATTAATCTCAATGTGAATCCGTCATCACCATTCATTGCAAAGCACGCATTATTTTATCAGGTCACAAAATCAATCAATATTAATGACTGCTTCATAATTATTCCATCACATAACTCTAATTCAAAGTTGGTTATTGAAGGTGATGGAAGCACTTTGGGGGGATTAATCATCACATACTTCCTAAACTGTGTTTACAGTCAAAACAATAGACTTCAACCTTCACCTGCCATGGCAAGTCTTCTTGACCTATTTAAATATGATTAGTCATTAGTATAGTCAGTATTTTGTTTAATGTAACTGAGCAGTTGTCATGCATTTTATTTTATTATTATTACTGCTAACGATGTTAGTTGTGAAGTGATTGTAGAGAAACTAAGAAATTTTCAAGTATTGTTTTTGTAGGGATTTTTTTTGATTGCATGGAGGATTTCGTCATGAGCTAACATCAGTTAGAGAACCACTGGAAATCCAGTCAGGGAGTACTGGACAGCTGTTTCTACTATCCTAGTTTTGGGACTCTTCATCAGTACGCACCCACCTCGCTGGGGTTCGAACCCAGGACCTTCTGGTTACAAGGTGAGCTAGCTTGTAGACCATTGAGCCACTGGGACCTGATGTCAGCTCATGATGATATCGTCCATGCAATCAAACTAAGAAATGACGATATCACCTCGTGAAATTTGTCTTCTAAATGGCTAATTCAAATTTTTTTTTGAAACGGGGAGTGATTGTTCTAATAATATTTTGTACATATATTCGGATTTTTATTGATTGATGAATCCTTCGTAATTATCTACTTGAAGATGTGCGTCTGTGGCACAGAGGTTAAGACGCTCGCCGACCATGCACATGGTCTGGGGTTCGATTCCCCGGCTGACGCACACCTGATATCAATTAGTTGGCCTTCTAAAATTTAGGCTACCGATATATCACATGCTGAAAATATTCCATACTTGCATCAAAAATACTGTGTGGAGTCAAGCTGTATTAAAAGAAATATGTTTATATTTGAATCAGGAAGGCACTTGGAAGACAAATTTCGCGGGGTGATGTCTTCATTTCGTAGTTTCTTTACAACCGTTCTACAGCTAACATGGTTAACAATAATGAAATAAGGTTCATGACAATTACTCATTTATATAAGAAACAAAATTACATACTCCACTAATGACCAATCATATTTAAATAGGTCAAGTACACTCGTCATGGTAGACGAAGGTTGGAGTCTATTGATTTTTGTACACACAGTTTAGGATGTATGTGTTTCCATCACCTTAAATAACTAACCTTGTGAAGCAGTCATTAATATTGATTTATATGACCTGACATTAATAACTACTTTGCAATGATTGGTGATGATGGATTTCCATTCAGACTGATTGCATTGGGATTTTTTATATGCTTTAATAACCATTTTGGAACATGTTCTTTTCGACAACCACATTTGAATAGTCTATTAGTTCTACCTATATACATGTTTGTGTCACCTCAACTGCATGGAAATGTGTAAATATAGTTTGAAGTAGAGTCCACAGAATTTCCTTCTTTAATCGTAGGTACGGGGATTGAAATTGTTCGAGATGTGAGGGAAGTAGGTACGGCGTTAAATGTGCACTTGAAGGCTGACCGAGGTCTTTGAGCTGTCAGCTACATAATTTGATCACCCTTGAATGGTAGGTTAATAGGGATAGATAGCTTTCTTTGGTACAGAAGTTGTCTTTTCTAGATGAGGTCTATCCCTACCGTGAAAATTGATAAAGTTTTCTTGATAACCCTTAGCTATTAAAACTGAATTTATGTGTCGAAGCTCATCCACGAATGTGTCACTCGTACATATTTTTCGGGCCCTTGAAAACAAACATTTCACCAGGGAACGTTTATACTGGATAGGAAAAAAATTTATTATTTTTTTTTGATTTTTGATTTACAGCTTGATTCCACACCGTATTTTTGGTACAAGTATGGAATTTTCAGCATGGATATCGGTAGCCCAAATTTCGCAGGCCAACCATAGATATCAGGTGTGCGCCGGTGTGGGCTCGAACCCGGACCATATGCATGGTCAGCGAGAGTCCTAACCACTGTGCCACCGACGCACATTTGGTGAAATGAAGATATTCTCCACTTCATTGTCTGTTTACGAAATGTGGATCGCTTAATCGTTCCAACATCTCTCCTAGTTATTGAAATCAATCCAAGAAACCAAGTTGGTTATTCGATTCGAGTTCGGAAGTCACTCGGATATGTGGTTGAATATGATTAAATAGAGTAATAAAGTTTTCAATAGATTTACTATTGTTATCAATAATGAGTGTATCATCTACATAACGTTTAAATAGCATACCTTGCATTTTTTTCTCTAATTTCGACATGAATTAATGACTGTTTCACAATTATTTCATCATATAACTCTAATTCACGGTTGGTTATTAAAGGTGATGGAAGCACTTTGGGGGATTAATCATCACATACATCGTAAACTATGTGTATAAAAAAAAACAACAGACTTCAACCTTCACCTACCATGACTAGTATACTTGACCTGCGTCGGTGGCACGGCGGTTAGGACGCTCGCCGACCACGCACATAGTCCTGGGTTCGATCCCCCGCCCGACGCACACCAAATATCAATTAGTTGGCTTGGAAAATTTGGGCTACCGATATATCACATGCTGAAAATTCCATACTTGTATCAAAAATAACGTGTAGAGTGAAGCTGTAATTCAAAAAATAAAAATTATATGCAATCTATGGAGGTGGGTTTTCGATAGCCTTGGTTTTTAAGCAGCGTCGCCGACTTCATATATAGCTACTCCCCAATGAGTGATTGATTGATTGTGTTCTCAATTGAGACTCAGTACGTCAGCAATCACCGCGTCCAAATACCAAGATGTGTCACACACACAAAGTCGTCTAATGATTTTTAAATTTGATTTCGCCTATTAATATACTTGTAAAACTTGGTCACTGTGATAGTAAGTAATTCCATATTAGTTTGTTTATTAGATATATCACACAATGAGTGAAACAGTATTAGTGTTTACTGGATGATGAGGTTTCGAACAAAATTTATTTTTCATAATCATAACAGTTATAATCACAATTTATGGATAGGTGGGAAAGCATAGCGATTGAAACGTTCACCTCCACCCCAAAAGTATGGTGTAGGTATATATAGATGACACATTCACTGTACTCAGAACACAAGATATAGATAGGTTTTTCGACCACATCAACTCGAAGGTAGGGGCGATTCAATTCACTTATGAATTAGAAAGTCAGGAAGGGAAACTTCCAATGTTAGATTGCAACGTAAAAAGGAAAGAAGATGGTAAGCTAAACACTAGTGTTTACAGAAAACCCACACATTCAAACAGATATTTGGACTTCCGATCATCCAATCCTATGTCAGTAAAAATAGGATTAGTGAAATGTTTAAATGACAGAGCACAAAAACTAAGTAGTACTAAGGAAAATCTAAGACAAGAAGTGATACACATAAAAGAAACCTTGAAACTTAATAATTATCCTGATAAATTAGTCAGGAAATATGTAAGGAAATCTAAAAATAAAATAAATAATGATAGCGATAGTGATTATAATAATAATATTAATAACAATAATAATAATGATAACACTAATAATAATAATAGTAATAATAATATTAATGACGCCACCAACAATAAGTAATCTAAGTCATCAGTAGTAATTCCATAAAAGGAAGGAACCTCGGAAGCCTTACGCAGAATTCTTAACAAGGCAGGAATAAAAGTAGCATTCAAACCCACAGACTCAATTAGAAACAAGCTTTGTCGGTTAAAGTATAAGTCCTGTGGAGTCTTTAAAACAAAACAATGTAGTTTATCTAATACCCTGTTTGCAATGATTGTCAGGTCAAATACATAGGTCAAACTAGTAGAACAGGGGCAGTCAAACTAGCCGAACATAAAAACCTAGCTAAATCTAGACTGGTTGACCCGAATAAGATAAGAAAGCTAGAGAATAGTTCAGCTATAGAATGCACTACATGCAGTTACACACAACCATACAATAGACTGGATAGGATAGAATGACAGTTTTAAAATCTAATGTCACAGGGTGGAGGGAGAGATTGATAACAGAAGCTTTGTTTATCGAATCAACTACAAATACGTGTAATAGGAATGATTCAACACCTGTCCACCCAGATATCTGGAAAATTCTGCTTCCCTAACGACGACAAATAGGAGAAGACAAAGAAAACTATAAAACTCAAATTTCACAGTCGTGTAATTATAAGTGATATGATTATGAACAATAAATTTTGTTCGAAACTTTGTCATGCAGTAAATAATAATACTATTTCACTGACTGTGTGATACATCTAATAAACAAACTAATATGGAACGATTTCGCTTAATTGTGTTCCTCTATATTGCCATTTTCATGTTTCCATTATTTCATTTGTTTGTTTGTTTGTTTGTGTGCGTGTATGTTTGTTACCATCCAATAGAATGCAGCCGAGAAATTGATAGCACTGTTAACTTATCCAAAACCTGGTTGGTTGATTGATATAAGCCAAGCTGAAAATAGTCAATCACAAGCCTCAACAGCTATTACACCTCCGACAACTGAGGATAATAATAATAATAATAATAACGACAACAATAACAATAATATTAGAGAAGAACAACAACCTGATTTATATGAGATGAAGCATGCTGAAGTCAAAGTTGAATCTGACGTTGTTGCCGGAGAAGACAAGGAAACAGTGGCGGCGGGAGATGAAGAAGATATTTTCAGTGGACTAGGTGAAAGTTGTGCAACACGTCAGCTACAAATGAGTATTCTACGAGAGGCGTGTTTATCAGAGACAGTATTTTTAATTTTACGCTTATATCAAACAGCTGGATTACATCAAAAGTGTATAGAATTGTCTAATTTAATTGCTGATAATGAACATGGTTTATTCAAGGTAAGCTAACTTGATTTCTTTTTTTTTGTTTTTGGTTGTTTAAATTATTTCTTTTTCATCATTTGAGTATTCTTTTTTTCCGCCGATTCATTTTCTTAGCTGTACAATCGCAAATATTTGTGTGTTATTTGTGACTGTCAAATTTGTGAGTATGTGTACATTAAATTTGTCAAACAAAATTGCAATTGATTATGATTATTTTAACTAAACAGGTGAAGGCTGGTAATACAAGTCAAGAAAATTCGGTGTTAATGAAATCAGGGTAGTAACAAAAGTGATGAGTTATCGCAAACAGTTGTTAGAAAGGAAGTTATGTAATAATAATATGAATAGTTTGATGATTGAGTTTTACTCAGGATACACATAGGAAGAAAGTAGAGAATACGAAATTACGCACGAGTTCTAGATGAATATACAAGAATTATAAGCAATTAAAGAAACAGGCAAACAAACAATATTAATTCATTAAAAATCAACAAAGTTGTTACCATGACAGTAGAAGTGGCTGAGTAATCTCCTTTTGTATGCACATCTCCGGGTTTTTCTATGTGAATGGACGGTCAGAGCTTCAGCGATACAAAGAAGACAAAACCGTATTGCCTTTGGTAGGTTATTCTTGACTCTGTAGATTACTTTGAAGCAGGAGTCGCTTGTTGAGATGGAAGGATGACTGTTAACGAGGTGTCCAATTATCGCACTCCTTATTGCACCACTATTGCCTTTTCGCAACCATGCTGGATAGTGTGCTTTAATTCTTTTGGACAGGATGCGCGTCGAACGACCAATGTACCTAGCTCCACAGCAGCAGGTGAACTGATATATGCGCATACTAGTGGTCAGACGCGTGATCTTGTCTTTAAGGCTTCTGCAGATCAACCGGCGACTGGAGAACACTATTCTTAGCGTTGCTGCAAAAGATGTTCTTCTTAGGGTTGATGTAATCCCTGTCTTGAGTGTATCGCTTGCTAAATCTCCCTTGAAATCCAAGTTCATGTAGAGTTTCCTTTTGGGCGCAAGTGAAATTTCATTTCTTCAAATTCTTGGTTTGATATTTTTGTCAATGAATCTTATTGGGTATCCATTTCGGATGAAGATTTCTCTTAGAATATCTTATTCTGTTTCTAGAACATCGGAACTACAGATGCGTCGGATGCGGGTGGCAAGTAATTTAGTTAAATTCCACTTTTGTTGAATGGGTATGCAACTGTAGAAGCTTGTTACTTGACCATTCTAAGTAGCTTTTCTATGGATCGGTCTTCTTAGGCTCCCATCAGTTCTTCTTGTTACTTCCACATCAAAAAACAACTGTTTCCGACAACTCATCACCTTTGTTACTACCCTAATTTCATTAACACCCAAATTTCTTGACCGATTTTGTACTACGTAACTCCAATTACCAATCTTCACCTGTTTAGTTAAAATAACCATAACCAATTGTAGTATTGTTTGACAAACTTAGTGTACACATACATACAAAATAACATATATATATATATATATATATATATATATTTGCGACTGTACAGCTAAGAAAATGAATTCGCCGCTGAAAAGAGACTCTTCGCTGAACTACGTGTTTTGTTTTCATTAATGCCTGGATGGGGATTATCATGAATATTCTTTTTTTTATGCTGCTTCAAGTTAGAGGCTTAAACTTTTAGTGGCAGTGGTTTCCTGTTTTTACGGGATGAGGTTTCTGCTAGCCTCATGTCCAACCTTCCCTCTCTACCAGTTTTATTACTAACTTAGCAAGGTAAAGGAGTGTATCTGTGACTTGTGGTTGAACTTCGAACCACATGAGGCGTGGACGATGAGCATTCTAATCGCTGTGTCATTGACACATACTTTGTATGCGATAGTTACAGCATAAGTTGTCGGTGTTCAGCGTTCTGTCGCGTAATACTCGAAGAACTGGTAGAAGAAAAAATACGAGTGGCACGATTCAACTAAACTGACTGATTGACTCGATTTTTTCCTGGATTTTCTGAGGCAGAAATAGCATCAGTGTTGTCTTACTAGCAGAGCCTAGGAGGCGACTGATTAAGGCTAACTATACACGTCATGTTTGAAATAAGTTTTAGAGTGGTGTTTTTATTTTTATTTTTTAAAAGATCTGACTACTGCAAGGCGAATCAGAGTGTACACAGCATTTGGAGTCTGCATTCCTTCCCCCCTTTCCAGAGTGAAGAGGAGAAACCTGGCTTCCTGACTAACTGACTGGTTTCAGCATAGAACTTTGCATAGATGTGCACCACTTGAAATTGTCACACTCGCTTCAAGTAGCATACAAACCAGTAAAAGAGAGATAATAAACAAAAGTCTTTGTCAGGGAAAACGAATAGTGATATGGAAGAACAATAGAGTTTTATTCAAGAAGGCACATTTGACAAGGAGTGAATGCATCTGTGCCAGTCATCACCAAGATTGACGATTTTCAACCATATCACCCATCAGTTGTCTCCAGCTTTTTCATTGGTTCTTACCAACCCAAGGACCTCAACCACTAAGTCAGGTAGCGAGTCTTCACCTCCCTACGTGACTGGCTGGCTTAAATTAACTGTTGTTATAGATTTTATTGACTGGTTAAGCCATATTTTTGGTTTGACCACCATTAGCTAGCTCTTTTCCAACCTGATTCTTCCTATACCAGCGGCTAACATTGCACGTTATCGAGGAAGGCGGGCGACGACTAGACGTGGTATGTGTAACACATGTCCTAACCATAACATCGATTCATGTAACTTTAAAAACTCGTTGATTGATCTTGCCTCCTTACCTACCACTTGACCGAAGCCTAACCTCAGTATTACTCACTCTATTATACTACCACCGAACACATACTGGAGATAGAATGCAAGCACTTATAATCAAGAGCACCTAGCTAGCCAGGCTTTTCATGTTCTCTCCAATAAAGCAGGACTGGACGAACTTCTGCTGTTCAGTACATACGTCCTTCGGTCAACAGTCAGTCGGATATCATATCACCAGAGTCGTGGTGTGAGTCGGCTAATAAATGACAAATGAACCTTGTATATCCATTCTGAGATTTCGTCAGCGATCAACCCGCTGTGGTTGTTGGCTGATGCAACTTCCGAAATAAGTGAAACGGTGGTCAACACACTCTGCCCACGTAATTCCTGCCTATCTTTTTAAGTTAGGAGTGGGTCAATGAAGTCCAGTCCTGTGGCGCCATCTTGTGTCTGAGTGATAGGAGCTAAACGCATGCCAAACATTCGAAGATTGCTGCTCCTCAAGGTGCTCAGAAGACTGCATTTTGTCAGCACTTTCATGTAGAAGAGAGGAATTTATTATCTGTATATTCTAAGTCAACAAGATTATTCTTTGGTAACAAGTAAATTCCAGAGTCATCGCTGAAGTCATTTACGGTTATGTTCTTTAGATCACCGATGATGAAATTAAACAGAAATGGGGACAATGGGCATCCCGTCGGACACCAGTGTTTTTCACCACAGTAGTCAGATGATGGCCTGTCCGTAGGCTGTAAACCTAGTGGCTAGATGAGCTCAAGTAGAATGCCTTGATCACTACACGATGTATATTCTCGGCATTCCTTTCAGTAGCCATACATTTTGCCATACTACCTTTAGTCTTTTTGTAACTTTATAACTTTGTACATATTGTGTGTGTGTGTGTGTATTCCCTTTATACATTCTAAGCTCTAAAATAACTTTTCTCTTTTTATTTCTCAGCTACTCTCTGTAGATCAACTTAAAAGTCTGCTTCATCATATCTGTCAATCAATACAACATTTTATTGATAATGAACTAGATCCGCTTGGTTATTCATCAGCTGCCAAATGATGACGACAGACATCTGCTAGACATCTTCTGTATAAGAAAAAAAATAAAAGGAAAGCAAATCTTAAAGTTTGTGCTCCATTCCCATCAAAAAGGGCTATTTTTCTGGCATTTAACAACTATTGAACATTGAATGCCCGCGCATTTTCCCCTGTTTGTTTTAATCAGGCTGTTTGTTTAAGCGCGTCAATCAATTGTTTGTTTTGTTACAATGCTTTATGTAAAATAAAGTGTAAAATATGTATTATATATTTTTTTTAGATAATAATTGTTTTGAAAATCAGAGAAAATACGTGTGAAATTTTGATTTGTGTCTCCTTTCCGTTTTCTTCCTCTTTATGTTTCTCCTGATGAATGTGTTGTTTGGTTGATGATTAGTTTGGAGTAGTGTATTATCACTTATTTTTCAATTGTTTATTTATTTATTTATTTGTGGCTTCATTAAACAGACAAGACTTTCAGCCACTAGTAGGTGGGCTAAGGGTTCGAATCCTACTCCACATTAACTCAGAGACCTGCATAGCGGAGAAGGAGGGAGATAACACTCCGTAGTTTTATGACACAAGCAGTGGTGTGACATTTAGCTAGGGCTACTGCAAATTTCAGCATCTAGGGGTACTTGTGTTCATTTTGTTTTAATCCATGAAGTGACACGTTGTTTACTCTCGCGGATATTTAAAGTATCTTTGAAAAACATCATGGTAGGTGGTAAGGGTTGACCTTCCCCAAGATTATCAGTAGCAACTGCTCTTCCCTGGAATTCTTCATCATTCAGTTATCTCCCTTGTGTGGCAGAATGTGCTCATGCACGCATTTTTAATTGGCTTTCAACCTTACTGTGTTGTGCATTGCTTGAAGGAGACGAAGGAGTGTGTTTTTGCGCTCCAGGTCGAACCTCATTACGTCATGTACTGTACTATTATTAAGTATTATTTTCTCCTTGAAGATCGTGGATGAAGAGAGAGAAAATTATGCAGTAAATCCTGCTGAGAGTCGGCTCTTTATGTAAACATTATCTAGAGTAAATTGTTTCCTATTTTTGAAACACAGACTTGTTGCATTATGAGGACCAACAGATGCCCCACACAAAATCTCCCAGTTACTGAGAATGCTAGGATACTACTCAGATTCCTAGATCGAAACAGGTGGGTTTTTTTTAAAGGCCGCCTTTTTATATGAGGTCTAATCCACAAGGCAGTAGATCGGCGTTTCTATGGTTAATGATTGAGCAAAAAATGTCCCTACGCCATTTGATACTTCTAGAGTCCAAGTGCCAGTTTTCTAAGGTAAATGAGCATATCTATCAGTCTGGTTGTAAGTGCTAGACACTTGCATTCTCTCTTTCATTTTCGTGAGGATCACTGTAACTGTGTAAGGACAGAAGACAGGAGGACTTACCTGGCAGTCACTGTGATTTAAAAAAAAATTCTATTCCTTTACGTCTCCACTGGAACGCAGGGCTTCGAGCTAAGGCTTGAAGTTTCGGTAGCAGTGGTTTTATATTTTTACGGGATGGGGTTGCCGCTAGCCTCATGTCCAACCTTCCCTCTTTACCAGTCTTACTAAGGTGTTAGCGAGGTTCATGAGTGAGTCTGTAAGCGGGGATCGAATCCCGGACCAAGTTTGGCATGGTTGGCGAACATTCCACCACTGTGCCACCGACACACTGACTCCAGGAAGTAGAATTGAACTATCCCAACGCTAATTGGCTACACTTTTGAAGCCTGCATGCACCGGAATCGCTGAGGGTTGTTTTGGCACTGACTATGAACTAATCGTAGATGACTAAAGTATACATTCCATTAGCTATATGGCAAGCATCCAGCATAAAGATTTTTTTATTCTTATTGAATCTTGTCCGAACTAGTCACATCTGAAAATAATGTTATCTTTGTGTTGATGTTTGATTGTATTTTTTCTCTTTTTTAGTGTAGTTTAACAGAAGTATTAAACGCTGGTTGGTAAGTTTTTCTCTTTTCTGTGCTTAAATTAATTTGAGTCTTTGTTGTTGGCGTTGTTATTGCTGTTGTCGTCTTTGTCACACTGGAGACTAGATTTATTATAATAACATGTCTATACATTCCTTTGCATTCGAAGTGGAACATAGAAAGCGCTTTAGTGGCACATATTCATTGCACTCGATTCTCTCTGTCATCACTTTAAACAGCTCCCACTACGCTGTAAACGTACACTGAACTGATTCTCCTATCTACGGCACTTTAGGATGTCTAACTCGTTGGTTTCCGTTTGGGTTTCACTTGATGAAGGCCTTCTTGGCATGTGGCGTCACTCAACAGCCTCTTCAACAATCCATCTCCATTTCTTTTTTCATATTTTTTGAACAATAGCTCATTGGTTGGTTAAGCGTCGAGTACTAGGTATAGAGGGGAGATCAATAGACGAGTCTCTAAAGTTACATCTATCGACGTGATGGTTAAGACATGTGTTATGGATATCTGTCTAGCCATCGGCTTCCTCGAAAATCGGCAATGTTAGCTGACATAGGATAGATCAGGTTGGAAAAGAGCTAGCACGAGGTGATCACACTGAAACATGGCCTCATCAGTCAATGAAATTCACAACAGTTAGTTTACGTCAGTCACGTAGGAAAGTGTAGACTTCCTGACTAGCTGGTTGGGGTCGTCGAGACGGTTAACACCAATGAAGGCTAGTGACAGTCAGTGATATGGCTCAAAGTCGTCGTTCTCGGTGATGTTTGGCACAGATGCATCTGCTCCTTGTGACTTATAATTTACAATGAAACTATATTTTTCTTCGTTATTACTATTACTTTGTCTCATATCCGTGTCTACTGTCTCTACTATGCATTTCTTCTACTTTATTCTTTTATTATTATTATTATTATTATTGCGTATATAGTCATTCTCCACTATCGATAACACCACCTGGTGCATATACTCTAATCTTCTCTAAAGCGCTTTTATATACCTTCTTCCAGGTGCGTCTTAATCACCACCTACATTCGCCTGAAGGTGTTCATAAGAAAGTGAATCGGTAAATAAAAGTGTCTGACCCTCATCACTCGGTTATTAGACAAGGAGGTTTGAAGTAGTCTGTCTTTGTTTGGATTCAACATAGAACTTCACACCAAAGTGCACCAGTTCCAGTTGCCACCTTCCAAATAGCACACAAAGGTAGACAAAAAGATGAGTGAAGAGAATCAATAGAGTTTGACAAGTATATGAGTGAAACTGAATCGGTAATGGTAGAAAGGAATATGAAAGATTACAGAGACTGAATACATCTGGGCTGACCATTGACAACGATTTTGAGCCATGTCACCTATTGTCTCCAGTCATTGATTCCTAGAGTCCCGAGGGCCCCAACCCGGAAGGAAGTCTGCATCTCCCCCTCTGCCTGACTCAGTTTAACTGTCAAGTATTGGTCATGGATTGATGAGGCCATGTTTTTGTTTGGCCACCACTTACTCTTTTCCAACCTGCACCTATGTCAGCTAGTAATGTCTGTCGTCGGGGAGACGATGGTTAGGCATGCGCAGCACCTGGCCTAGCCATCTCAATCTATGTAACTTTATAGCCTCGTCGATTGATTTTCCCTCTTTGCCCAACACTACGCCTAACGTCAAGATTACTTACCTTATTAAACCACCTAACGTGAGAAAGAGATCGTAGACATCTATGATCGAAAGTAGTCAACCTTTTCATGTCTTTAACGCGTATTGGCCATGTTTCAGAGCCATAGAGAAGGACGGAGCGAACTGCTGAGCAGTACACACGTCCCTTGGTTGATAGCCAGCCGGATGTCACGCCTACGCCAGAGGTGGTGTAAGTCAGCGAAAGCGGCTCGAGCTTTTTGGATTCGTGCTGAGAATTCATCGCCAATCAGTCCGTTGGTGCTAATACAACTTCGCAAATAGGTGAAGTGGTCAACATGTTCTATCACTTCACTCCCTATCACCAAGCTAGGAGTTGAGGTAGTTCAGTCCTGTAGCAGCATCTTACATTTGACAACATAAGAGAACCGCATGCCAAACATACGAAGATTGCTGCTCAAGGTGTTCAGAAGACTCTGTGGGATTTTGTCAGCATCCTCCCTAAAAGGACTGTGTCATCTGCATATTCTAAGTCCATTAGACTATTCCCTGGTAACAAGTCGATTCCTACGTTACGTTGCGTTCAGTTAAGGATACTTCCATTAGCATATCTATGATGAAGTTAAACAGAAATGGGGAAAGTGGACATCCCTGTCGGACACCACTGGTTGGGGGTTCGACGTAGGGAAGTTATAGAATCGTCATTGCGTACCGATAGTACACATTAGCTCCAAGATGCGTAAGAAACGTTAAGCGTGTAAGCATGATTTGGTCATGTGAAAGCTCTGCGGACTCAGTCCCCAACACTCTTCTATTACCTTGTCGATCAAACTTTTAGTCATCAACATGAAGAGTCTCCCTTGAGACGTGATTGTGCAGCATTTCGTGACGCATATATTATACGAAGTTTATGTTTTAAGTAAATTAGGTGGTTTCATCCACAGACGAAACGGATGAAGATGTGAAAGCCAGTCAGAATCGGAAAGGCAAGATACGCCCTCATCGACCTGAAACCAGTTTGGAAAGCTTCTGCTCTAACTCAGCATAAAGAACAAGACTCGCATTTTCAACACAAATGTCAAGTCGGTTAGTGCTTCTATACGGGTCAGAAACTTGGCCAGTGTGTCAGGAAAAGGATTTCCAACAGGTTGCAGATTCTCATCGACAGCTTCCCCCTCGCTGGCTGCCTCCAAACTAAAGATCAAATGGCCAGAAAGAACAAGTAACAAGAAACTCTGCAGTGGAACAAACCAACAGGTGAGAGCGATCGCTCAACAAATATGTAGAAGAAAGTGGAGATGGATCGGGCCTACATTGAGAGGAGGCTGCCGACTGACATCACACGCCAGGTCATTGCTCGAGTGGAATCCCGATGGGAAGAGACGAGGGGGTCGTCTCTGCGAGGATGATATGGAGAATATCGTGTGGAGAGGAAGAGATGAGATAGTTTGGGCAGTGGTGCACGCATATGAAGAGGACGGTAGAAGATAGGACGAAGTAGAGATGTTTTGTTAAAGCCCTATGTTCCAATCGGAACGCAAGGGAATAATAATAATAGTAAAACTAGGTGGTAGCACGTTGACTAATCTATGTGTAGAACTCATCACGTCTCACAGTATACGTACGTTAGTGTGATTGGACATGCACTGTATACAATGGGCTTTAGAAAGACTTAATAAAGAATAAATCATCAACTCTAATTCTCATGTGCAACAGAATTCGCTGCTTACCGTCAGTGATTTACTGATGTGTACTATACTTTCAAGCAATTTATTGATCAGTCAGTCGCAAACATTGTGCAGATAAGATACTCACTACAGTCTTACAGGAGGTCAATCGCAAGACGAATAGCTGGCTCAGTGATACCAGCGTATCTGACAGCAGTACTCATTGGGTGACGCGGGTTCGAATCTCAGAAGGAGAGACATGAGTTCCTTCAGTGTGGTTGCAGATACGCCTTGCTGACTGACTGGTGAGTGCCAACTAGCACGAAATCCAGATCAAGCAAGGCTTCCTGTGGCCGATTGCCTCCAGCTATCTAATATCATCAAATAAGATTAGTTGTTCATATGGTATCAATTCAGTCAATCAAACAGACCTAGACTGTCGTTAGTTACTATATTCGTCTTCATATCTCTTGTCTTTGTGATCAAACTCCGTGTTTTAGACCTAGGAAAGTAATCCTATTGTAGCAACAGAAGAAAGGGCCAGGGAACAGATCGTTTATGTTCCATGTACATTACTATAGCTTACTCAAGCAGACAACCACGGTCTTCTGATTGTTTGTTTCTTGCTCAAGGTTATTCTGTACTGCTTCTGATTGGTTTCTCAGAAAGTTAAGCCGTATATCTGCGAATCGTATTTGCCCACGTTAAGTCTGCTGTGATTGGTTGTTGAATCAGTCTTGTTCATATTTTTTCACGGCCAGTATTAGCGACCTAGACATGGACGTAAATTAATGTCTACCAATTGGCTAGCAGCCTGCTCTCACCACACTATAAGCCAACTATTTGCTTTGGCTTGGGTATCTGAGCAGCCATCCTCTCCATCAAATGAATGTAGCTTATTTCTTTATGTCCGTATTTATACGCCTAAATGTGGTGAATTCGTTAACTGTCAGTGACTTCTTGCTTTGATGTCTTAATACTTTCGTCACAGAGTTTATTCGTCGTTCAATCAGAGACTGAATCAGTCAGTCAGTCAGCCAACGTTGAGCAAATAAGATTAGTTGTTCATACTGTGATGGAAGCTCTCTGCTAGTTAAAATTTTATGCAACAATTTACGTCAATGTTTACGTCCCATATCTTGTTCATGTGAAAAAAACAAGAACAGAGCCTAACCGTGAGGAACTCAACAACCAATCACAGAAGACTGCTTGGGCGGATACGATTAGCAGATATATAAACGGACTGTCTAAGAAACGGTGACAAACAGATGACAGAATAACCTTGAGCGAGGGAACAACCAATCACAAGACGTTGTTTCTCTGCTAAAAATAGCGCTAATAATAATAATGTACATAAAAATCTATAAATATCTTTTGATTTTCTCAATAGCCGGTCTGTTTGGCTGGGCCTTGTCTTCTCTCGTTACAATACAACCATTTTTAATCAGCTAAGGTGTCTCAAACTGTTGTCAGTGCATACATCGTTTATATTTTCCAATTCAGTCTTGTAAAAATGGCCCCCATGATAACACTTTCTTCTCTTATTTGTTTTTCTATTTTTTTTTTTACCAACAAAGGAATTTATCTCAAAAGAGTTTTACAGAATGTTTAAAGAAGACGGAACATGAAAGTTTAAAAGAATTGATAGATGTATTGTTGAATGTAAGTATCAACTCTACTGTATCTACCTCTGTGTAACGGAAACAGATAAGAGAATTGTTCATGGACTATTCTTTTTCTCATTAAGGAAAACACACCTTATTCATATATATTTAGTCACATTTATGGTTAGCTGTTAATAAACTGTTCTGATTGATAGTTTGGTTTTCTGAAGGTTGAAACTCTCCTGATCGCTTTGATTGGTCACAAGTTAGTAACTAGTGTGATGTGTGTCTAGTCCTTTGTTTAGTGCAAATTGATTACTGTCAGTTAGGTTTGCAATGTGGCCACTATTCCACTAGGTGGTGGCTCGCCATGACGGTGTATATTGATTTAATGATAGTAGATGGTTGGAGGCAATCGGCTGCAGGATGCCTTGTCTGAACCTAGGTTTCGTGCTAATTAGCACTCACGTGTCAGCAAGGCATATCTGCAACCATGAATGAACATATTTCCCTTCTGAAATTCGAACCTACATCACCCGGTGAGGACTGCAGTCAGAGACGTAACAATCAGCCAGCTATTCAGGCCTGCGATTGACCTCCTGTAGGCATGTATTGGATATTTTTGATTGATGATTTTGTGTTCGGCTCGTCTAACTGACTGACCCTGGAATGATTCTCAGGTAAAATATATAGGTCAAACTAGTAGAACAGGGCAGTCAGACTAGCTGAACATAAAAACTATGCAAAATCTAGATTGGTTGACCCGAATAAGATAAGAAATCTAGAGAACAGCTTAGCTATCTCAAGCACTGCATGCAATGACACACAACACAACCATTCAATAGGATGAAAGGATAAGATGACAGTTTTAAAATCTAATGTAACAGGGTAAAATGGAGGGAGAGATTGACAACAGAAGCTTTGTTTATCGAATCAACTGCAAACACGTGTAATAGGAATGATTCAACACCTGTCCAGTCGGATATCTGGAAAATTCTACTACCCCAACGGGGACAAATAGGAGAGAACAAAGAAAACTATAAAAGTCAAGTTTCGAAGTCGTGTGATTATAATTGATGGAATGATTATGAACAGTAATAAATTGTGTTCAAAACCTCGTCATCCAGTAGATAATACTGTTTCACTGACTGTGTGATACATGTAATAAACAAACTAATTCGGAATTACTTACTACCACAGTGCTCAAGTTTTACACAAATATGAGTGGTGCTCCGACTATCTGAGAAAGATCAGTCGTCAATCCTTGTGTCTTCAAACAGCGTATATCAATTTGAGTGTATTTTTGTGGGAAGTAAATACATTGATCGTACAAGAAGTTATATGTAATTTAGTCAGTGTTTAACTGGCTTCATGTCTGAACTTGCCATAATTATTTGATGCTCTATTTGAGTTCTAGTGATCTAGTGAAGTTTTCTCATTGATCAAATAACGTTTTGAAAACAAACCAAAAAAAAGTTATTTGCTTGTTTAATTTTGATGTTTAATCTCTTTTTCTGTGTGTGTCTGTGTGCTTCGTTTTATCTCTCATTATTGATTTTCCAGTCAGATATTCGAGAATATGGAGTACCATGGTTGGGAGATTATAAAAAATCGACTCAAGTGAGTAAAAATATATATTTTTGGTGAATAGTGATTTTTTTCTTTTTGTAGAACTGGTTGTACTTTCTGATGTGTTCTAATTGTTAAGACCGAGAATTCAGTGGAGATGTGGTTAGGTTATTGGCCTAATCCAGATAGTTTTTGTTAAATGAGGTTTTCCTGACACAACTGAGTGGAGTATACTGTATATAAAAGACAAATATTCCTCTGTCTTGGTTCCTGAAGGTGGAATTCTTCAAGGTGCTGTTCTCTCTGTTCTTTTACTTTATTTATTTCTTCTTACATGACTTGCCTCACTCGAATGAGAGAAAAAATTCGTTATACAATTGGTGGATGGTGGCTAGCAGTGGAATCCAGGATAAAGCGCATTTCGTCCTATTTGGGACTCGTCAGCTGGATGCACCTGCATTTCTCAGTGAGTGAAGATGTTCCCACTGAGGCTCGAACCCAGTACCCATAGTTTCAAACGCCAAAGTGTTATCCACTGGGTTCGAGCCTCACCGGGAACATCATCACTCACTGAGAAATGCAGGTACATCCAGCTGACGAGTCCCAAATAGGACGAAATGCGCTTTATCCTGGATTCCACTGCTAGCCACCATCCACCAATTGTATACTAATTCAATACCCAGACATCGTCGAAGCATCTGCACAAGAAGCCGACATGTCAACCTGAGACCGAGCACTTCGGTCCAATCAATCGACGGGAAAATCAAAAATTCAATTCAATAAAAAATTCGTTAATTATATCGATAGTCTGACTGTTTTGCTGCCAATTACTTCCGGATCTGGCTTTTCCAAATTTGATAGCTTTTTGTCGAATAGCAGCTAGTGGTCTTGTAACGACAGAAGGCAATAGTCAGGCAACTGATCGTTTGTTGAGAAAATCAACAGATATTTATACATTTTTATGTACATTATTATTAGTGTTATTGTTAGTAGAGAATCAACGTCTTCTGATTGGTTGTTTTTCCTCGCTGCAAGTTATTCTGTCATCTCTTTGTGACTATTTCTTTCAAGGTCAGACCATACATATTTTCAAATTGTATCCGCCCACGCAAAGCCTGCTGTGATTGGTTTTTGAGTTAGGCTATGCTACTTTTGTTGTTTTTCTCATGATCAAGACATGGGACGTGAACATTGACGTAAATTGCTGTCTACAAATTTTGGCTAGCAGACAGGTCTCACCACACTTTGGTGTGTGATCGAACTAACAACTAATCAACTCCCCTACCAAATTGTTGAAGATCTGCAGTAGTTTGACCAAAATACTTATGGTGATGCACACGCCGATTGTCTGAGCGCGTAAAAGGTGTTAACTTGGTGTTAAAAACTCTTACCTAGTTCTCTGTGTGCTAATTGCTGTAATAGGAATCATCACATTAGCTTTGGAGTAATGGACACCTGGTTTTTTCACCACTACATTCGTGTTGTCTTACAGTTCACTTGTGATTGTGGCGCTGTGCAGATGTTACCGTCATAATTTCTTTGGCAGTCTCTTTGTTTCCTCCTGATTTTGTTAATCACCTGTATATTGGCTATTATCGTTTTTATTAGTAGTTTTGTCAGTTCAATAGCTCAATGGTGTAGAATGCTTGCTAATTACGTACATTGTCGGGAAATGAATCACTGGCCAACACACTTTTTAATCTCACCTTGTTTACTAGCTGATAGGAACTTCGTGAAAGAGGGAAGTTTGGCCATGAGGCTAACAACCCAATAGTTAAAAAAAAAACAACGCTACTGGAATATGATGGAGAAGATTTGTAGCTCAGGTGGATGATTTTAATGTAGTTGTCTTCTCTGAGCTTGATGTTGTATACTTCACTCAACTCTGTGTGAACAAAAAGACTCAACAGCGAATGAAGATAAAACCAACATCATTCACTAAATAAGTTGCAACGACTGTGAGAAGCACTACATTGGTCAAAGTGGACGTCCCCATCGTCTTCATATTCATGATCATAAACTAGCCATCAAAAGACGTCAGATCCACTCCCTTATATCGCTTCACCGCATACAGACAACCACGGACATCAATTCGATTACGACAAGCAGTGTTCAAATATTAGACAGAGGAAACACCAAGAATACTAGAAAAGTTTTAGAAGCCCACCTGGTATTTCAGTGAATCGTCAATCAACAGACATATTGACATATACAGAATTTACCAATCGATAAGGAGGAAATCTCACACACAAAGAGTCCAAGTCCAAGTCAAGGAAACAATCAATACCAATACAAGTAACCTAGAGGGTGTGTCAACACACAAAAACAACCAATCACGTTCAACGTCACCCACCAGGAGAGATGACTATAGAACTCGTGGAGAAATCTAAAAGCTCACTTCAATTCAAATTGAAGTATGCGCTGAAGATGTTGTCTAGTAGGGCAACGACAGCTTCGCAAATTATCTATTCAGCTCACAACTACATCAAAAAAAGTACTACCTAAACTTCAAAACTTGTAGTTCTATGTTCCACTCGAGACGCAGCAGTAATAAACGGAAAATGGAGGAAAGAGAACATCAGTTTGATGTTTTGTTCGTTTTAATTGACACTCCATCTCGTAAAATATTTTTTTTTAAACCCTATCAATATCTATCTATTTATGATATTTATATATTTATATTCACACAGCTTGAAGCAAATGGCAGAATTGTTCAACTTACTCGATTACGTAATATCAGTATACCACAAGCTGTTGAAGATATGATGATGACTACTTCTACAGATAATCGTGGACCTTGTCTACTTCGATTAACATTTACTGATGGTCGTAATACAATAACCGGTTTAGATATGCAGGATAAAACAGATTTGAGGTAAGCATCTCTTCGTATCCTCGTACACACTTCTCTTTCTTCCTTTCTTTTTATTCCTTCACGTCCTCAGTGTAACATAGAGGGCTTCCAGCTAGAGGCTTGAAGTTCCAGCAATAGTGGTGTTTATTTTTACGGGATGGGGTAGCTAGCCGCATGCCCAGCTCAACATTCCCTCTTTACTGGTCTTATTGCTAGCTTAGCGAGGTAAAGGAGTGTGTCTGTGGTCGGGGGTTCGAACCCCGAACCACATGAAGCGTGGTTGGCGAGCTGTGCCACCGACGCGTTCAAAATGTTTACAACCTACCAATTCGCCACTTCCTATTAAACGTGAGAAAAAGCATTGTGCTTAGTGACAGCTTTTCCCAATACATAATGTCAATGTCGCTTGGTTCACAAAATGCACTCCTGAAATATTTGCAGTCGGAAATCAACAAATTGTTATCGTGTATTTCTCGATGAAGACAAAGAAGAGATATCATCGTCATAAGGGTGGATTGGTTCGCTGTTCAAGTCAGAAAGAACTTTGAAAAAGAGAAGACGTTCAGCGAAGAGACTCTTTTTGCCGGCGAATTCATTCACATAGGTTCACAATCGCATTTATATACAATTATTTTGTGTATGTGTGTACATCAGGTTTGTCAAGTTTAGATTATTAATCAGGTAATACAAGAGTGATCTAATATAGAAACAAGGTTAATCAGACAGCAAATAAAGTAAGATTGAGTTAGTTAATTAGGTGACGTAATACGATTGACTAAAATGTTTCAACTTATGTCAGAATAACAACAGAGGTGGTTCCAGGTAGAGACTAAGTAGAGGTGGGGTAGAGAATAATGCCATTTAAATGAGAACTGAAATTGAGCAATTCAGTTGGATGACGTAACACAAATGACTAGAAATTGAGCGTTGGTCAGGTCAATAGCAATGGTGGTGAGGTATAGAAATTAAATCTGGTGGGGGTAGAGAACAAGAGAGTTGAAAATGTAAACTATTACAATTGAGAAGACAAAATAATACTAATGAAGAGGCAGAAAAAAAGAGATTAAGTAGAATTCACCTGTGGAGTAATAAGATAGATTATGTCCATTGCAAGTGTAGTGATTGAACGAACTTCTTCTGTATGCAGAGCTCAGGACTTAGCAAGTGAATCGCCATTGCTACTGCAGTTTGAAGAAGTTTGATTCTTACGCCTATAGGAAGACTACTTCTTACTCTGTAGACGACTTTGAAGTTTGTTTGGGGTGCAGCTTGGTGTCCGGATTCTACCAGATGTACTAAGATGGAGCTGCGAGGGGCATCGTTTTTCTTCTTTGTAAAACCATGTTGGTAAGTGTTCGGTGATACGTTTGGAAAGCGAACGCTTGGTAAGGCTGACATATCTTGCTCCAAACGAGCTGGTGAATTGATAGATACACATTGATGAGGCCAGTCAGCAGTGGTAGCTTATCCTTCACGTTCACATGAATCATAGGTTTTGTGGAGAAGGTTAGTCGTAGTTCAGCTGCGAAGAAAGTATTCCTAAGTGAGCGCAACAGTCGATTTTTTAGTGTTTCCGCAGATAAATCTCCATTGAATTGAAGGTTCATGTAGAGTAGTTTTTTCGGAACGCTAAGTATAAGCGTGGAGTCATATTTGTGGTGGACTGACTGGATTATGCGTCAAACAGTGAGTGGGAAACGGGCAGGCAGGGATATCCTGGACTGACCAATGTGAAGAATCTAGAAGACGTGGATTTCGCGCGACGATGATTTATGTTTGATTTCACTGTCACAAAATCAAAGACTTAGAGGCAAGCGAAAACTGACAAACTGGTCGAAGAAGCAGCCGGCGAAGACAAGACTCCAGGTGAATAGAGACAAGATGGAGGTTATGAAAATAACCAACCAACAACAACAACAGCAGCAAAATCCAGTGCCAATCACCATCAACGGGAGGGATTTGAAAGAGGTTACTTCATTCACTTACTTATCTAGGGAGCATTGTCTCAACTACAGGCTGTCGGAACGGACGAGGATGTCAAATTGAGAATCGGGGGGAAGGCGAGAAACACATTCACCAACCTGGAACCAATCTGGAAATCTTGGTCACTCAGCCAGCATCAACAACAAAATTCGGTCGGATCTTCAATACAAACATCAGTTAGTTCTTATATACGGATCAAAAACTTGTCGGGTCGGTCACAAAGAATATTTCCAACAGCCTATTGCAGATGTTACCTTTATCAACAACTGACTGTCTTCGCTCTATACTGAAGGTCAGATGGCTGGGCTGAGCCGGAAAGAATCACCCAACATATATGCGGGAGAATGTGGAGTTGGATCGGACACGCACTGAGGAGTCCACCGCTTTGTGACATCGCGCGTCAAGCCATTGCTCGATTAGAACTTGAAAGGGAAGCATCGTCAGTGCAAGGGGGACATTGAGGAGATCATGTGAAGAGAATTTGAGACAGTATGGACTAACATGGATGCAGGTGAAAAGCACAGCAGAAGACAGAAGCAAGTTGAGACGTGCAATTGAAGCCCTATGTTCCACTAGGAACCCAAGGGAACAATAATAATGATACCAAGTAAGAGCGAGGCATAAGACGAGGTCTGAAACTTCATAATTACCTCGATAAATTATTCGGTAAGTTATTATTATTATATCCTTTAATTCCTAGAGGAACATAGGGCTTCAGCCCCAACGTCTCCATTGCGTTCGGTTCTCTGCTAAAGTTTTCACCCAGCTCCAAGTCTGCCCACATACCTTCATCTCCTCTTCACATGACCTCCTCCATGTCACCCTCACACTGACGACCAGCTCGCCGCCTCCTTTGTGATTTCCACTCGAGCAATGGCTTGCCTGGTGATGTCACTTGATCGTTTGTTTTCTCAGAGGATGGCCATCTAATCCATCTCCACTTCTTCCTGCTGATATTTGTCTCACAATTGAGTCCTGGTTGGTTCGCTCCCAGAGATCCCTGTTGCTGATCTTTTCTGTAGATCTGATATTGAGTATTGAGCGAAGACAGCTGTTAATGACGGTCTGAAGTTTGTTGGAGATGCTATTTATGACGCGCCAAGTCTCTGATCTGTAAAGTAGCACTGACTTTACATTGGAGTTGAAATTCTGGATCTTATTTTTGATGCCGAGTGCTGTTGACTTCCACACAGACTTAAGAGTGATAAAAGCTTGTCTTGCTTTTCCGATCCTCGTTGCTTTGATATCCTCGTCAGTTCCGTCGGTCTGTAGTTGAAACGATGCTTCCCAGTTGGGTAGGTAGGTAGGTGAAGGAGGTTGTTTCTTTCAAGTTCCTCCCGTTTATGCTGGCTGATTGTTGTCTGTTGTTGTTGTTGCTGTTGATGTTGGCCGGGAATCTTCATCACCTTTGTTTTATCTATGTTCACTAGAAGTCCTATCTTTGATGTTTGTTCTGTCAGCTTTTTGCTTTTGATTTGCAATCTTCCAGTTTGTGGGAAATCAGACGTATATATCGCATCGGTGAAGTCCAGATCCTCCAAGTTTTTTGTATGAGTCCATTTTATACCCGTTTCCTCATTGCCCGTTGTATGTTGCATTATCCAATCTACTGCAATCAGCAAGATCATTGGCAATAGTAGACAGCCTTGCCTCACTCCCGTCCTCACTTCGAAGGCTTCCGTAAGTTTCCCGTTGTGGATTACTTGACATGCAGCATTGTCGTATGACTGTTGGATGAGATTTATAATTGTCGATGGCACCCTGTAGTAGAGAAGTAGTTGACAAATCACCTCTCGATCGACGCTGAGCTATCGAAGGCCTTTTCAAAGTCGATGAAGTTGGGTGAGATACAGAGGTGACTGCGATTCTACGCTTTTTTCCATGATGATCCGTAGAGTGACGATTTGATCAATACATGATTTGTTTCTCCTGAATCCGGCCTGTTCCAGTCGAAGTTTTTAATCCAGGTTGGCGTGTTTGATTCTATCCAGGATGATGCGGCTTAGTATTTTCCTTGGGATGGACAGGAGCATAATTCTGCGCCAGTTTTTGCATTGACTTAAGTCTCCTTTCTTTGTTAGTTTGAATAAGTATCCTTTCTTATTTTACTTAATCTTGATCCCTCTTTAAAACCTTTCAACGACCCCAACCAGTTTGCTTATAAACATAGGAGGAGTACGTTAGATGCCGCTGTTGTCCTCCACCATAGCATAGTCTCTAGTTTAGATAAAGGAGCTAAATACGTTCGCTGTGCCTTCCTTGATTACACATCTGCATTTGACTCTGTTCCCAGGTCTCTCTTGCTGAGTAAGCTTGCTGCAACACAGGCTGAGAGCTGGACAAATAAGTGGCTGCATTCCTATTTTTCTGAAAGGAAGCAGTACACCGTCTACAATGGAAAATCCTCCACTACCTCACTTACTTTAGCTGGTGTTCCTCAAGGTGCTGTTCTTTCTCCCTTTCTGTTCTCGTTTTTCTTACATGACTTGCCTCATTCTGATGTAGCCACTTTTGTTAAGTATGCCGATGACCTCTCGGTTTCTATGCCTGTCAACTCTCAGTCAGATTGTTCCAAATTAAATAGCTTTCTGTCGGAAATTAGTCAGTGGTCCTCTTCAAACGGACTTAAGCTTAATCCGTCTAAATATCAGGTAGTCAATTTCACTTTCAGACGTAAATGTGACCTACAGCAACTAGTTAGCTCACATGGCCCCACTCTCACTGACGACACAGAGGTTGAAAATACATCTAATGTCAAGTACCTTGGGCTGAGTTTTTCCACCGATCTTTCCTGGTCTTCCCACATCTTGCTAGTTAGCAGGAAGATGTTTCGCTTAACGTTCTACATTAGGAAATTTAGGCAGTCTGGTATAAAGCAATCTTTGCTTTCTCAATTTGTAAATTCTTGTATTCTACCCATCCTCCTTTACTGCTCCCCATTAGTCTTTCCTGGACTACTTAAGAAAGACTTTGCTTCGCTGAGAAGGGCACTAAAAGCTGTTAGTAGGGCAAGTGGGATATCGTTAAACCAACTGGTG